CTTAACACAGATTTAAAAAGGTTTTCTCAAAAAACCATGAAGTCCAAGAAAAAACACTGATTCTGAATTTTTTTTTACCCTGATAATTTGTGGTAGGTTTCTTTATTTTTTGAATATAAAGTGACAGAAATAATTTGCCATTAGAAAAGAGAAAGGATCTTTGACTATGTACAGCTTTTATACATCACAAAGGTTTTTCTTGTTTTTATGTTGTCTTTTTTTAAATTCATTTTAATTTTTGTTCCTGCATCATTTGAACAAGTCCAAACTGGAAATCTATACAGCTCACAAAAAAGCCCTCCACCCGAAAGACCCCCCCACCCCCACCCTACCCCAATGAGAAACAAGATAAAACAAAAGAATGAAATCAACTTATTTTGCTTGTTAAAGGTAAGTCATTTGCTTATATATATACTTGTAAGTATTTTTTTTCAAGTTCAAACACCAAAATCCAAGAGAGAAAGAAAAAAATAAAAGACCCAGTCATCCGCCCCTCCCCCCACTCCAGAATCTCAATTGATCCCTGCATGTCCAAAATAAGAAATCGATATTTACAGAAAACAAAATCAAAACAAAACAAACAACCTAAAAGAACTTGGAAGTGAATGGGCTGGGGATCTGAGAGTCAAGAGGAAGGAGAGCTGGCCTAGAGGAGGAACGTGGGATCTGGCCTCACAGAGTCCAGGCAAGCCTGAGGGCTTTCCTTGTGCAGAGGGGACACCACACTAGGGGAGCTGTGACCATCACCCCTAGCCAGAATGACTCTGGGAGCGGTGTGGTTCTGCGACTGCAGCCCAAGCCACTGTGTGTGTATACAGTGTTTCACCCCTTCATACGCCCGCTCAAACTCACATGCACACCCACAGTCACACACGGACATGCTTCTGTCATTGTGGCTAAGTGTACTTATGACACTGTTAGAGCACTGGAAGAAAAGAGATTTTTTTTTTTTCCCACAGGTAAGAGTTCATTGCCCTATCCTTTGTCTTCTCTGGTCCCATGCTAACATTCCAGCTAGCTCCCTGGACATGTTTCCACAAGTGTTATGGCTACTCTAAAGTATGAATGCTGGGATGGTCACTGTGTCACAAAGCTCCCACTTAAGATCCCCTCTCCTTTATTTAACCTCTCTCCTCACGTCCCACAGATGCTTGCACAGTCATACCTGATTACTACGTTGGTATAACAACCAGAAACAGGGGAAATCTTGGGCAGATGGAAGTCATGCTCTGTTCAGTTGACCTTTGAAAGGCTGGATTCCTGCTGGGCAGGAAGTCAAGCAGTCAGGACACACACCCCTGCAGCTTTTGCTTCCCTATTCTTTGCTAAAGGAGTTGTAGCCAGCACTGGTGCATAAAGCATGGAATAAGCCCTTGAGTTGGCTGTAATACTCTTCCAACACAGACCCGAAGACAGGCATTAGATGAGCCTGGGTGAACACCAGCTAATCTTTGAGAGGAGTGGCAGGAAGGCTAAGACAGAGCTGGAGGGTGTGTGTTCACTGGTGAACAGTGAAGCTGAACTGGCAGTGACGATTTCACCTGCCCCTGTTCAAGATTTTGTTGGGTCAGGAGAACTAGCTCAGTAGAAAGGCCTACTGTCTCTACCAAATCAAGTTATGATTTCCTAAAGGCCCCAGGAAATAAAATAAGACCAGTCTATCATTGGTGTTGGATATGCGGAATGTTGTGGAGAAGGCAGGATCTAGTTTATACTTGCCAAATCTCCAGATGCTCCAGATGCCCCACCCCCCACCCCCTGCCACCTCCTTTAGTCAAAGTTTTAATTTTTCCAGTGTTATCTTCAATGTACACTCCTCCCCCCTCCTCTCCCCCAGGCAGCCCCACTAAAACCTTCCTTCTCTAACCCCATCTTAATCATCCAGAATGTTCCTCCCTCCAAAGCTTTCAAAGATGCCCAATCATTTCCTAATGCTCCTGGCCCATTGTTCTCTGTCACAAAAGAAAATACTGAATAAAAATGATCAGTCAGAGGAAACCGTCATTTGCTAGAATTGGGCAGAAGCAAAGCTGTTTGTTCTTCTTCTAGATTTCTTTTAAAAGATGAACAAAGAGTAAGATAAATAAGAAGAAAGAATTCTGAATTTCTCCAAGGAGAGCAACTTAGTTGGAAGCTTTTAAAGCAGAGAGGGCAAGACGTATGGTGAAATGCGGTCTTTTTGGAGGTAAAGCGTTGCAATGCCGTTTCCATCCAGGAGAATTGAACTTGGTCTCCAAGCAAATAAATAAGCAAAAGCAGAATTTGGCAGTGGAAATTAAAAGGTGGGGGTGGGGTGGGTGGGTACTGATGAACCATGAGAGTGCCCCATGCTGCTGGCAAGGCCTTGACCAGCACATGCAGCCTTGACACTTCAACCTGATAAAGACTACCAGTACCAACCTCAACTACCCATGAACCCAGCTCAGGAGAGCCACTGTGAGGAGCCCACTCTCACCTTCATCCACAGGTGAGCTAGTCCATCTCCTACTGCAGTCCATCTTCTATCCTTGGCTCCCATTCCTTCCTATGAATCCACGGTCCTCCACTGTCACACACCCTGGCAACTTCTGTCACATTCTTGTCTTCCTGGAGACTCCAGCAGCCCTACTGAGTAGCATGCATTCCAGTCACACGTTTGTCACAGCACCAGTCTAGAGGTGGCTCAATTGCTCAGCAGTGCCATTTTCAGACCATTTCAGCTCTCTTCCATAAAAAACCACATATAGTGACCAAATCTAGCATGAAGTACATCAGGGAATACTAGTTCTTCTCCTCTGCCTGGCTCGATCATTGAAACAGTCTTGAATTACCACTCTTAGCTGATGAATTAATCTCTTTGTATTTCACTGAATAATTCCAATCCAAACAGACATGTTCCCAGATCTGTCTACCTCCTTGCATCTGGGCCCAATACCACAGCCTCTCTATTATGAAGCACCAGTAGCTCCTACATCCAGCCTTCTATTTGTGCAGTGGATTCCATCCCCTTTCGCTCATCATCGCCATTACTCCTCTCACCATCTCCTCTTTCTAAGCACCATCAGCTTCCTGACTCTACCGGGTCATTCTGGTCATCACAAAATGGGTTATTAAAAAAAAAAATCCCTCCCTGGGCCCTCAACTTCAAGCTTGGATACCCAGTTGCCTAGTCTGCTTTCCACCTGGATGTTTGGTAAGCATCTTAAAGTTACTATCACATGAAAAACTTCCTCTCAGTGACACATGAACCTCAAGAGACACTGCCTCTGTTGTGTTGACTCCCAGCACCTAGACCACCCTGGCACAGGGTTTCCATTCAATAAACAACCTTGCAAGGACAGACATGCCCAAGAACTGCAGACAAGTGTTTTCCAAATACAATTTCCAATAAAAAGTAAAATAAGACAGAATCACCAAGACCCCTCTTCCAAGAAAATAATAAACTTTGAACCTTGGATATCTGTTATTTCAGCAAACATTGAAATGGCACAGGCAGGGCTCATTTTGGACCTGAGAATTGACCTTGGGTTTATTATTATTTTTAATAATAAAAAAAATGACCCCAAGTCTCATTAGCCATTTCTCTGTCTCTGTTGTCCCCTCTAGTGTTCCTCCTCTGTTGCCTAATTCCCAAATGCCTTCTGCTAGAGTAGAATGAACAGACTGAATTGTGGGAGCATTACTTCATCATTTTAACCAAGTTGATTCAGAACACATGATCTATTTCCCTTTAATGAGGTTTTACAGCTTAAAGGATCATGTCTGAGTCAATAAATTTCATGCTAATATGTGTAAGAATCAGGATTAAAGCAATCTGCAAAATGCCTGTTTGTAATTGAATCCACCAATTTCCTTCCTGGAGTAAACAGTAATCAGATTAGAAAACTTGGTGTTTTCACTGGGATGGGAAGATACAATTTTATTTAAAGGATTTTCTCTCTCAAAGGTGACCTAACTTTGTGATGCCAAACCACACTAAAACTGAAGAAGATGAAGAAATAAAAAAGCTTAAGCTAACTGCATTCTCTTGATATATTCTCCTCTTCTCTGTGTCCTTTGGCTTCCCAAGTTGAGTAATTGCCATCCCAATGAGCATGAGGCTCTTCTGCTCAGAATATTCTAGACTGGAGAACGGAGATAGTCAGTGAGGAGCTGCTCTAAGGTCTGAAGATGAGTTCTTGAAGAGCCAAGGTGCACTGCTTATTAGTAGTTCCCTGCCAGAAAGCCTGTGCCTGTTTCTAAAGTGAATCCACCTCTGTCTGAGTGGTCAGTGGTAGCAGGTTTCTCCTTCCACTAGAGCTTGTGGGTGGGTGGGAGTGATGGACAATACTTTTAGTGGGGTTAATCAGAGCATGTTGAACATTATGAACATTGTGAACAATATGAACATTATCCTCTCTGTCCTCTAAACCATCAGCCCCTCTTTACCCTTTTCTTTTGCTTCTGGAATTTGGCTTACCTTGGTGAAGACCATTATTTCAGAACCATGCTCTGGTCTACTTGTCACTGAATTTATTTCCCACTTTAGTTTTCTCTCATTTTAACAGCATGTGCTACGAACAACTCAGAACTGACATGCAACAACTCATTGGCTGAGAGACTTAGAGGCACTGGCTTTCTCTGTGCCTAGGGCAAAGGAAAGCTGGGGATAGTGTAACATCATCAGTGTCTTTAAACTAAAGCATTCTCCATCATAGATCTTGTGCCTTGAAATGACAGAGAAAGGGAGGCAAGTGGGAAGGAGAGCTAGGGTGAGAGATTAATGGCTTCATGCACACAGAAATCATCTTGACCAAAGCCCATGTGTACCTGCTCAGTGGCTGCTTAATATTCTGGAGCACGTCCCTCTCCTTTAGCAGATCCTCGGCTCTCACTTGAGGACACTCAGTTTCCTGGCACTTGACCTTGAGTTGAAGCATCTGAGGACAAGGCCGTGTTTGCTTTCTTGCTTACTATTTTTTTCCAACTCTTTCTTTCCAAATTAAGGAATAACAAGAAAACCAATGAGAAATTATTCTCAGATCTTTTTCTGAATAACCTGTTTAAATAAGAATTCAGTTTAAGGGGCATTTTTTTTTTTTATAACAGGAGAATAAGGTAGAGAGGGAATCGCAGATCAAGAAGTAGGATCTGGAGATATATCAAGAGGCAGAGAAGTCAAGAAGGATTTCTATGGAAAGAACTGGAAAAGTTATTGTCAATATAAAACCCACTTTTCAATGGCTATAAAAATAAGTATTTGGGGTCAATTTCCTAGCATAGCTATCATTCCTTTTGTCAACTTTGAAACAGTGAATTCCTGTTGTAATAATGGCTTCAAGAAGAGGAGAGAGTCTCAGAGGAGAGATGAATTACAGACAGGATAAGATTCCCCAAAGATCATTGGGATTAAATGAAATATGCTGATTCTACTCATTCCTAATGAATTTCTGTATGTATTTGCTGGTATGTCTGACTAGTGATGGCCATGCATATTTCTTCATCATGTGGGAAAAGAAACAAAGACATGCAGAAGACAGTCACAGCTGTCTGAGAAGGTTGGAGTTTTGTTCTTGGCCCCATTTATCTTGCTGGGAAGAGAAACAGATTTAGCATCCCAGGGAATGAACAGAGAATGGAGAGAATAGTAATACTCTATCTTGTTTCATTGAAAGAAAGATGCTCCACATCTTCAAAAGCTCTCCAACTTTCTGATTAGATTAGAAATTAGTAGGCATGTTTGTTTTCCTAGGAGGCATCTCTTCTTGGTATTGAAACTGCCTATTTTCACCTCCACCCAGGTAACCAGCTTCATCCAACAGGACTTACCCAAACAGGCTTTAAGAATTGTTCTTTAATAGAAGTGACAGAGGGCATGAGGACAAGGAAAGGTTGTGAGTTACCTCAGGGCTCAATGTCCAGTGGGCAAGCCTGGCTTAGGAAGAAATCAATCTGCAATATGAGAGGAATTACGTTCTGCCCATAAGGTCAGTGGCAAGGGGATTCGGTTCATGTGGACGCTGCTCTGAGGAGAGAGTCCTAAGCTCCAAAACTGACTTTTACCTACTTCAGTCTTTGCACAGGAAGCATCCATATCAGCTACAATATCCTCAAAATATGAAGCTACCCTGATTCTGTATATACTTTCAGTTTGATTGCTCCAGCCTTGGGTAGATGGGGACTTGCTTTCTAAAACTTTTCCCATAATGCTTTCCCAATCTGCACTGTGGGCAGCTGTGCTTGAGGGTTGCCTTTTTAATTTCCACTTTAATATTTAATATTAAGCACAAGAGCTTTGTGGTTTCAATTAAGTAATTCTCCATCCATGCCCTTAGGGTCCTATGAATCTTATTTCTATCCTGTCCCACAATGAATATGAGTATAGCACCAGAGAAGGAATGGTCATCTCAGGGGAATAGGATGTTCCAACACCCATCAGATCTTGGCTCTGTGATGTTAGTAAGGAGTATCATGATAGAGGTAATGAAATTCCTAAGCAAGATGAAGCAATCATGGCATCAAGGTAGAATAGGCTGCCCTCTTTCTCGGCTTTCCATGCTTACCAACATGATCTTACACCAGCTCTCAGGAGGCAAAAGGGTGAGAGAGAACCGCTTTTTGTCACCAACTTGATTCTAAGCTAAGTTTGAGGAGCATTCATTTGCTGTTCTCAATTCCTCCCCGCACACACGGGAATGAGTAATTTCTTCCTCTCCCTACACTTTGCAGCATCCTCTCTGGGACAGGATAGACTGATTAAATTGGTCAAAGCCGATGTGAAGGTAGAGCATTTCACTGTTCTTGGTATAAGCAGACTGTTCTGCATAAGGAGTAAACTCTCTTGAGATATAAATTCAAGATGCTATCCTCTGGAAAGGCAGGATTCCCCCCTCCCAAGCTTGGTCCCATTCATCAGCCAGCAGATACGTTGCAGGAGAAGGTAGCTACGGGAGTCCATCAGCTGTGGTTGTTGAACAATTTACCACTATAAACTTGGGGCAAAATCAAAGTCTCACAACTATTTGCTGCAGATGGCACTATTCTCCTAAATAATGATTTAGGCAGAGAATCATTATTTATTAGTGTTCTGGGGGACACAAGGTCTTTTGTCAGAAATTCATTGCATTACATGTCTACATAACATTTCTAGAACTGACTCATGTCTTAATATTAGGACTAGGCTAAATTAGATTCAAGTACCCTGGAAAAGAATATAAAGGATTCTGTCTTGAAGTTGCCTTCCCTGTGGGCTAGCCCAAACTACTGACACCTTCAACATTTCATGACCACCTCACACACACTTTTAAAAGGCCTCCTTCCTAGGATACCAGTCTGGGAGATTTGGGCTGCTCACACGCTGTATAAAAATTTTGAATAATAAAAGTTATTCCCCCATGTCTTACCTTAAAAAATTCAAACACCTTGATTTGCTCTTCAAATTTCCTTCATTACAGAGACTTTTATATCTTTGTTTTGCAGATTCCTGCTTTGTTCCACCATTTGATTGGTTTCTGTAGACTGATGCATTATGGGAGATGGGCAGGGTGGGAATCTGGGAAGATGAATTTTGTGCAAACGATTTGGTTAAACAAGTTGCCTGGATTTCATGACTTTCCTCCACTATTAGGTATTAAAAACTTGGGATGGGAGAGCAGTTCATGCAGTATGACTTTCTGAGATAGCCTAGGGTACATGAGATAGCCTGTGGTACAAAGTGCAGACAGTTTGCAATGGAAGCTTTGACTTTACTAGTGCATCTGCGCTTCTGTGTGTTCATCTGTACAACCAAAACCATCACGTGACCCTGTCAAAGAGGCTGTGGGGAGAAACGGTGGTGGTAAATTAGCCCATATCCACACCAGGAGCCAAAAATGGTAAAGATCCAAGTGAGTTATTTTTGACTTCACAAACACCATCCTTCTCCAAAAAGACAAGTGGCATCATCCTAGGAACTGCAAGTGCTCTGGACTTTCTTTGTGGCATGAACTAAGAATGCTGAAGTGTTAGCCCTTCACCTGTCTTAGTGATCCATTACTTTTGCCTGAGACATAACTGAACTCATTGCCCTGGGCATTTAAAATGTCTATGATTCTCAAGGACTGTGACAAAATGATTTTTTTCTGCTGGTCCAAGATGCCCAGTACATCTTGGTCATCAATGTACAGAGTGGGGGTGTTAATAGAATTATACTGGTCAGGCTCTTGTTTAGAAAAATTCACTATCATGTACACATTAATGTTCTGTATGTATCTCAACTTCTCATCATAATATTGTGTGTGTGTGCGTGTGTGTGTGTGTGTGTGTGTGTGTGTGTGTGTGCATGTGTGTACATATGTGTGTGTTTGAGGGGTGGTGGATAGAAACACAAATGTGAGGATACTCATGGTGAAGGGATCATTTAATACACGGAACTGTGTGAAGAACATGATATCTATTTATATGACTGAAAACACAACTCAGACCGAGACAACAAAGTGGCGTAGTCTCTTGTTTGCCATTGCTTCTTAGCATATCCAAAGGGAACATTAAAATGGCCCTGATTTAAAAAGAAAATGGTTATTGATAATTTAATTAAATAATTACAATTAAAATGTGGTGATGGCAGCTATATAGACTATTCTGAAGTTTCAGGAAGACATAGCTTTTTGTTTCTTTGTTTTGTTTTTAAAGAAAAAAGAATCCCTTTTGGAAACAAGTGATATCATTGTCTGAAGGAAGTAAGTCACTACACACTTTCACATTCCTGGGACCACATTCCCTGCAGCTCTGATCCTATCCGATGCTAGCACTGTGAGCCTCCTCCTGCAGAGAGTGGATGGATTCATGAAGGTTAACATTCTACAGCTAGGCTGGTAGGACAAGCTGTGCCCTCTGTGCCCAGGGTGGTGATCAACAGCTCCCTGGGTGTCTTCCAAGGGACTAAGACGCTGACTCAGGGATGCCGTGTGACCAGACTTTCTGTAAGCATTTAGAACCTCAAAGATGAGGCTGGGTCCAGCTCCCTCACTGCAGGGTCAGCGTTCTTTCTGGACACCTCCCCTGGAATTTCTAGCACTTGATCAAACAGCCTAAAGTCCCCAAGCACTTTGAAATGGGCCCTTGAAAAATGCTCTGTAATGCCCCTCATTTCTAATCTACCTTGCTTCTGCCTCTCAGGTTACAACCAAAGGGGGTAAGCAAAAAGGACAATTCTATCCTCATCTGGAAGACACCTGGAAATCATGCTCCAATGTTAAGGTGAGTTTTTTCAAATTGTCTGTGGCCAAAGGAATGGGACTCTGGGAGGCTATCAGCCTCAAGTCTGGTCCTTCGGGGGTTTTCTTCTTCCTGAAGGGGCCCTCAAAGTCAGGGACTAGTAAGCCCCCAGCTCTACTTGTGACATAAAGGGAAGTCTTAGTGTGGGCCTCTTATTCTTTGCCTTTATCATCTTTTACAGGTACTGGTAAGTTAAAAAATAGAGTAGAATAAGATATAAAAGAAAATAACCATGTAAAACCATATGATGTTGGTCCATTCATGGTCCATCAGAATTTCATGGATGCCTTCTTTGAAAGAACAGTGTCCTCTCGACACGTCCACTAGTTAGTGCCAGTCTGTTTCACTGTTTAAAATAAGTGTCTCATATTATCATAAGATGGACTTTGCTCTAAAATGTTAATTATCCCCATTACTAGGATCAATACTATCTACAACTATTAAAACTGAAGAAAAACCCATCCCTTTAGACTTAACACTTTAATGCTTACTAGATATCTCCTAAATTGTCACAAGTTTCACCCCAGCTTGCCAATAATAATCTCCCACACCTTCCTGTCTTGATAAAGAATGAACTCGGCCTGCAATTTTGAAAAGCAGACTTGGCATTGCCTGTAGCATATTTGAGTTAGGTTCACTACAGTATGCTTTAAATTAGCACTCAGTGGCAGAAGATGCCTCCCAAAGGAGAATAATTCATTACCAATGACATCATGAGATGTATAGAGGAGGTTGGCCAGGAGAAAGGAAGAGAGCATTATCTGGTACTCGAGCAGCTTAAGTAAAAGGACAGGACCAGCCCAAGATTTTCTCCAGAGATGAAGATAGACACTAACTAGAACAAATAGGTGAGACGTGTTAAGAGAACCAAGGAACCAAGGGAAAAAGTGAAGGCTGCATGAAGAACAGAGAGCAAGAGGCCATCAGGCCAGAAGCGATAATGTTTCCTCTAGGGCAATGAGTCCAATCATAATTACAGAGAAAAGAGAGTTGAGACATTACAATTCTCTTTCAACCAAGTCATTGAAACTTTGGTGTATTTTCACTTGAGGTATATGTCAGAGGTGATCTGTTTAATAACTCAGTGTCATAAAGCATCAGAAAGGGTGAGGAAAGAAACACCATTAAGACAAGGGCGTAAGCAGAACATACAGCCCCTGACCCAACATCTGGCCTACAAAGGTGTAAACTTAGAGCATTCAGTGAAATCCACTGGTCCTGTTGGATCACTTCCTGAGATTCACAAGACTGTGTGATTAGTAAGCTTGCATTGCAATTGCAACAAGACCCTTTTGTTAGTGAAAATATCTAAATGACCCAAACTGCCTAACTCTTGGAATAAAGAACTGTCATCTGAGCATAGGTCATGCTAGACTCGTTCAGGATAGCAATGTGTCTAGAATCATCTCTGCTCACAGCATCTGGATAATCCCTATACCTCACATTTGATGAATATCCTTCACAGTTGATCCTCCTACCATTTACCTTGTGTGCACTCATCACTGTGGGGGACACAGAAATACCCATAAAGTAGTCAAAGAAGGACTTCAGAGAATGAAGTATAACTTGTAAAAATACAAATTCACATTGGAAATGACAACATGAAAATGCACACATGCCCTGTTAGTGCAATACTGAATCTGTGTCTGGAGAAAAAGAGAAACATGGGGCTGGTAGGGGGAAGAGCTCATCCTTAGGTATTCCTGCAGATTTAAGAATCTTGTGGGTAAAATAAGTGAACTCCTTTTCTATTTTTATTTATAATATCAAATATTCACTAGTGCCCTTCATGCACAAGACACCCTGTTAGGTGATGGAGGAAATAAAGATTAGTAAATGTATGGCCTGTTTTGAATCTAAGAAGGAAGATAACATGCACAATCAAATAATTATGAAGATGATCTCTGACAGTTGCTACCCAGGAGATAAGATTAAAGTGTCATGGACATTTGTAAAATGCCTGATTTTTTTTTCCTGCACAGATTGTGAAGGGAAATAGATGCTGTAGTTATGTTGTTGTCTTTGAAGACTGTATAGAGGGAGTGGATTATGCAAGAAAGTTGGGAGATGAAAGTTCAGAGCAGGACATTTTGGGAAAAGAGAAAAATTTTAGACACAAGTAAATCTAGCTGGGTAAGGAATGTTAAGGGAAAAGTATGTAATTTAACTGCCCTGTGACAAAGAGCATGAACTAAGGTTCTACTTTCTAGAAAGCCATGGCAAGGGGAGCTCATTAAAGACTTGTCTTCTGGGGTTAGGGATGCCCTGAAGTAACTACAGTTAGGAAACAAGCTGATGAGAGTAGACTGAAATATGAACTCTTGGAACAATGATATGCAACATTGAAATAATCAATGGGAGGGAAGAGCCTGAATGAAAAGGGAGGCCGAGAAACTTTAGAGTGACAATAAATAGGTTTTCCAAATGATTATATGTGCAAAATCAGGGATATGCAGGAGGCAAAAATTCCTGGTAAAACTTTAGTGTGGTGACAGGAGAGTAATGGATCCACCAGTCAGAAGGAGAATTTGCTAATTATGTCAATTTGCAGAGGCAGATGGGGGTATTCAGGTTAAGCTGAAGTGATCAGAGGTGATCAGAAATATATGCATTAAGCTGAAGAGAAAATTAGGGTCTAAGAGTGAAGATTTGAAATTCATCTTCACTCAGAGCCATTAATGTTGTGGAAGTCAGAAAGATCATGAGGAGTTAACATGGACAGTTGCAAAAGCAGAAGCCAGTGAGGTCATTGGGAACCTGAGAGCTAAGATCCAAATCAGTATGTACCACCTCCCAAAAGTTAGCTCAGGTGGACATCTAAGGGTGAATATCAGGGAAACAAAAATGCTGTTGGATTTGTAGCAAGACACTCATTGAAGTTTGGAGTTTGTAGGTGAGTAGCAGATTAGACTCATTGCAAAGCTGTAAGCATTGGGTATGGATGTGAAGAAATTCTATCCACTTGAGAAGGCTGGGAGAGCAAAGATAAACAGAGATAGACAGGCATTCAAGGGTCTAGTTGAATGGAGAAATTTGTTCCTACAGATGTTGCCAGATTTTGTTTGGAGAGGAACACGGACAGCTGTGTGCAAGGGAGTAAAGTTGAGACAGAGAGGTCCTATTGTCTGAAGTGTACCTCAGAAGATCTCAAAGGGATGTTTGGCACACAGAGACAAAGAGCACTCGGCTGAGAAGCTAGCAAAGATGAGTGAAGGAAATGCAAGGCTGTGACCTGAGAGGGAATCTTTGAGTGTTAGCTTAGAATGTGTAATAATTCCAGAAGTGGCCAAGGCTTGGCTATGATGTGGAGAGTTGAATGTCTGTGGTATTCTTCAATAACATAATGTATATCTTTGATTCAAACCCTGAAACCTGAAAATATTAAACCTGTATGAGGAATCACAGAAATTTATGTAAGCCTATTTATATATACATAATACATAGATTTAAATATTTTATATTTATGCATTTGCATATCCTACATGAGTATAACATACTCCATTTTAAAATCTTTAATATATTTCTCAGTACTAACTCAAGGACATAGTAAATGCTCAACAGATATTGGTTTAATTGAACTAACATATTTATGTAGAGCTTTTAAATTTATACCACCCTTTAACTCACAACCTTAAAATAATTATTGATTGATAAACAGAGTTCAGGATGGAAGTCATAGCTTTAAAATAATAGTTTTGTAATGGGCTTAGAATTGTGCTTCTTCATTGTAACTTGATCCTTGCACCAAGTGCCACTTTTTGCCAAAGAGGATTCTGTACACCAGCATCCCAAGGCTGTGAGGAACTCTATACACCAGCATCCCAAGGCTGTGAGGAACTCTATACACCAGCATCCCAAGGCTGTGAGGAACTCTCCCATCCACTCTACTTTCCATTCTCAGTTCCCATTGGCATTGCCAGCCCCAGTCACACCAGCAGATGCAGGATATGGAACATCACCAGCAGCTCACAATGATTAGCTCTGACATCACTGAACAAGGACACCGCGGCAGCGAAATACACCAGGTTCCTACCATTTTCCACTCATTTCCAGTATTGCTAGGGTAACCCAACACTCTCTGAGCAAAGTTCTTCCTCCTTGCTTCTGTACTGCTGCCTAGAGCACCTGAACGTCACCAGTCTCTTCAAGGCATGGGAAAAGCACGGACTTTCACTCAAAGCTTGGACAGAAGCTGTCTTGTGGGAGCAGATAGCTTACATCCAGGCCACAGAACTCACAGGGACCTCATGGGACTGAGCAAATGTGAGAATGGGATGAGGGTAGGATGTGTTCATTCAGCCTGTGATCTTGCATATGGCTACCTCCCCAAACTTGATGGAATTCTAGACTCAGATCAATGTTACAAGTTCTCAGGATGACAAATGAGCATTTTAACATTGACCCAACCATAACATAGGCCCACAGGTTAAACAGTACCTGAGGGTCAACTGGCTCCTTCACAGAGAATATGAGAAAGGAAGCTAGGCATGTTTAGATTGCAGGCAAATCAGTTAACTGGCAGATTATTTTACCTAGAACAGAGAACAGATAATGCATGCTTTTTATAACATACTAACAGATTATATACTAAATATGAATGAACATTTTTCTTTGCCACTCTCTGCTCAGCATCTTGCATTTGAGGAAAGGTGCCTGTCTTTTGTTTCCTGGGTCACAATTCTTACCTGCCCTATACAGTGTAGAATTTAGCTATCTATAAACTATGCATGTGACTGTGTGCTGAAAATAAATCACAGGTACAACTCCTAATCCAGGGTCCCCATGGGCCTTAACTAAACAGGTAGAGATGGAGCATGGCTTAAATGACAAGTTTTCTGGACCCTTTATCCTTTCTCCCTGTCCTGTTGCTTATGATGCTCATGTTGCTTTCTCCTGCTGCTTTATTGTACTTATTCCCAGGAAAAGGAATGAAAATCCTAATGTAGATTAGGTGTTTAAATGTACAAATCCCTAATATGGCTTAGTGTGTCACTCTTCCTGGGAATGATTTCATTTCAACAGCAGATGGACAGCTCAGCCCTAATGGAGTAAATCTGCCTGGGAAGCTGACAGTTGGCGGGCTCTTCCAGGATCTTGAAAGCAAGTCATAGGCCATTTGCCATTGGTGAGGCCAGAGCCACTCCAGTGTGACAGAGCTCCCCAGGATGCTTCTTGCCCCTAAAGAATTCCTTAGACAGCAAGAATGCTCTCTGATATCAAGGTGAAGAAAGCGAAGGCAACAATACCATAGTGTTTTAGCAGCCTCCAGATCACACATTTTCTATATGGCTTTGGGAACAGATAGTATGGCCACAATGCCCAGAAACACCGACCACATTCACCAAAAAACTGCCATTGCATCATTTATGCGCACATCTGAATCATTCCTAGCACACCAAAGCAGACTCACACAGGGTGCTAAGCAAGGACAGGGCCTTTTCAGAGATGGCAATCAAAAAAAAAAACAATAATAAAGTGAGTTCAGGAATAGCTTTTCCAAAGGCTTTTGCCCAAACATTCCAGTTAATCTTTCTCTAAATCTTGAACTAATTAAAAACAAAAAACAAAAGAAACCCTAGCTCTTAAATGAGAGGTGCAGGTGACCAGCACTCTGCAGAGAAATCTCCCTGGGGCAATTCCTGATGGCCATGGAAGACTGGGCAAGTGATATTCACGTCACTGTATAGAGGACTCCTATTTTACACATGCGTTTGGGCACTACTGACACCACCAACATTTAATGGGATCATCTGGGATTTTTTTTCCCCAATCACAAAATGGCTGTGGCCAGTACCAGGGAATACACATGAAGGATGTTCTCCCAAGTTCTGGCTGAGGATACACAGTGACAACTTGGAAATAACAAGGTCCATGTACATGCAGCACTCTGAAAGGGTGTGCACATCTTCATTCAGGCAAATTCAAGGGTCAGATTGTTGAGGTCACTGGACATGCTGACATGTCAGCCTTGCCACTAAGAAGGGTGATGTGGGACCACATCCATCAACCCACCTCCACAATGGAAGGGAGCACTCGTGAAAGAAAGCATGGATTCTGAAGGACACCGTGGAACACAAGATGCTCCTCAGGGCTCTGCAGAACCTCACAGTTTTGGATGGATTGGGTCTTGGTCCAGATCCATCAGTGATGGAGATGGGAACAGCTGCTGGATTCTTCCTTATGTATTCAACTGACTTGCTATTATGGAATTTCACATATAAAACTTGACAAACTTCATATCCTTATTCTTTCTAGAGCAGGCCTTGAATATCTTACTTTGGTCCCAATTCAAGAACCCAGTTGGAGAAAGATGGTCAATTGAGGCCAAATGAGGGATTTAGGATAGTTAAGTTATCTGACAGCCTCTGGGGGTGGGAAGATGGGGGGAAATATCAATTTAAGAATGAGAGAGTGAGAGTGAACAAGAGAGAGAGAGAGAGAGAGAGAGAGAGAGAGCAAGAGAGGGAGGGAGGGAAGGAGGGAAGGAGAGAGAGAGAGAGAGAGAGAGAGAGAGAGAGAGAGAGAGAGAGAGAGAGAGAGAGGCTGCTATCTTTCACAAAGCCAACAATTCAGTGAGAGAGATTTTATTTGTCTGGTTAATCTCAAATCAGATTTGAGACACCTAACTTGAACAAAATAGCACCCTCCTGATGGCAGTAAGAAGAACAAGGCAACTATAAAGCCACCATTGGTACTGTCCTCACATAGCCACTTTCCTACCTCTGAAACTAATTTTAGCTTCCTTGCTAGGCTAATGAGCTTTGAGGGGATCTGGTGACCTTTCCTAGAAAAGCATGTAAATCTCTAAGACCTCTTGTATCCATTGCTATCCCTGTACAGCCTGAAACCACATGCTGAGGCAGAATTAGTGTTATTTCTTGGGTGTGCCTGAAGTGGTCGTTTCTATAGGTGGGCACAGATAGGGGGATGGGGTGGTCAGGTACCAGAACAGGATGTATCCGAACGGTAGGATGATGTTTAAGCATCAGAGAAGGCTGCTGTGAGATTTCTCAGAATCAAGCTTCTGGAAACCTCTCAGCCATGTCAAGAATGGGAGGTAACTGGACCTCAATTCTTTTTCAAGCCCTTTGGGGAACCTTTGCAAGCCCAGGTACTGACAAGGAAAAATCGTATGCCACCAGTTGGTCTTTGACAGAGTGATGGTGTCCTATGGTCTCCCTAGAAGACAAGAGGCAGGCCAAGCTTTGCTTAGTGCTGATTTGGACCCTGCAAAACTCAGGCCAAAGTACATGATCACTTCTCACAAACCAGCAGGAAGACAGGTTTTGGAGATGGGGCATGGACATAAATGACTTTCCCCTGGCTTGTTCACCATTGTGGCTTCTGTTCCCATTAACTTTTTCCAGACACTCTGAAGCAAAGGCCATACAAACAATTCCTCCCAACAGAAAATGAAAACCCGTAACGAAATAATTCCCCCCTCATTCCCATCCCCACCCCGCTCCCTCCAGCTCAACACCCTGAATACTCACAGGAGAACACTTTATCTATACAAAATTAATTATAAAACAAAATATTTACATCTGAAATAAACACCATCTTGATTTCTGTGGCCCGTGGAGACCACCAGAGCCCCCTGCTTTCTAGATTGCTGTTCGCTAGGTTAGTTGGTTTGGTTTTTTTTTTTTTCTTTTTTTAATTTTAAAGGGGTGAGGTAAGAGGAAGGGTGAGGGATGAGCCCCTGGCCCTTGGACAGAGCCAGAGTGAAGCAATGTTTCTATGACCCTTCTCCTTCCTCCGGGAGTTGCCTCACGCCCTTGGTCCTCTCTCAGAGTCTTTCCTGGAACCTAAAGTAAAGCACTCCACGCTCCTGTCTCCAAACTGTTGAGAGGTTCAGCCCCTTGCCCCCACGTTCATTTTAGAAAGAAAACAAGGCCTCCAGTTGACTTTTAAATGAAAGATACTGAGGTAAAAAAATCAAGGAGGGAGGTGGGAGACAGCAGTCAAGGATGGGAGATGAGGGAAGGTCGTGAGGCAGGGCGACCAGGAAGGCAAAGAGCAGCCCTGGAGGGTGTGGCGTGAAGAGACATGGCAGCTTCGTTCCAGAGGAGGATGAGCACCTTTCTGGTTTATGTGTCCTGTGTGCGACAAGGCGGTCCTGCAGTCAAGCTTCCAATCAGACCCAGGGCTCTTTGGATGCCACCGTGTGTGAGGGGACGGCAGGACAGTGGAACTGACCCATAGAACACCCCTACCCCAAGTTTCAGGCAGCAACACAAATATTCATTTCCCTTCTTAAATTTCCAACTTAAAGTGAGGGGGCATCACACCTGCCAGCACCCCCATCCCTGGAGTTTTTCACACACATACACACACATACTCACACACACACACTCACTCACACACACACACTCACACACACACCCATGCACACACACATTTACTGTTGAGTGGTATAATCTGAGAGGGAACTGGGGCTTGCAGAAGAGAAAGGTTCTGTCAGGAGTGATCACATTAGTTCAAGTCATAGTCCAAAGCTCCTTCATTCTCTCCGGCTTCCCTTGAGGACAAGCTCACTTCTCTCCTTCGTCTGTCCCCTGTCACTCATCACCGGTTCTGGGGGAATCTGCCTACTCTTTCAGCTCTAGGTTAAGTAAGAAGGGATCAAAGCATTGAAAACATCCCCCTCTCTCACTTACCCCACCGTAAATGATTCTCTCCTTCAAAGCCTTCTGTGGAGAGTTCTTCCTCAAACCTTAGCCAGGCAAGGGGCTAAATGCCTAAAAGAGTTTTCTAGAATGTTCTGCTCTGAGTCTGGATAAAAGATTCATGGCTGCTTCGATTTCCCTTAAGCCTTACTGGAAAGTTCTTTGTCCCCGGTGATAGAAACTGCAGGCAACACTGACAATCTAGTTTGTAGGGTTGTCTCAGTGCCTATCATTTTCTTCTATCATTTCCCCTCCTACAATATAGACTCTTCTTTGTCAAGGACCTCCGTCCTCTCTCAAGAAGGGAAAAGGAAGAGACAGCCCAAAGTCAGGTCACTTATGACATCAGTTTATATATAAGCCAAAGCAAGCACATTACGTAAGCACGTGGACGGAGGTGGTGCGTCAAGGCTCCCTTCTGTGTGTTCAGAGGCACTGACTACAGGAGAGGGCAGGTGCACATGGACCTCTGTGCACACACAATGCCCTCTTCTTGCCTCCAATGCAAAGGGCAGGTGCACATGGACCTCTGTGCACACACAATGCCCTCTTCTTGCCTCCAATGCACCATAGGGCACTATTGCAGTGCACTCTCCAATTTGCTCAGGAATCCCTCCTCTTCCAATGGCCTTCCCCACTTGGTTTACCATCAAAGAGTTTGATGGAGCTGAAGCAAACTTTTTATTTGGCTTATATATAAGCACAGAAGAACTTCCTGCCCTCTGCTTGTTACAGGGCCCCTAGGCAGCTGCCAACCATGCAGCAAGAATTCAGCAAAAAGCCTCTTTCTCTCTTACGAGCAGGAGGCCCAATGGCCTTCCTTAGGATACCTTCACTTCCTCGCCTGAACAAAGAGCAGTTTCAGGAAAGCCTCCCTCATAGTGCTCAGAGAACTTCCACACTAGGAAGAAGCACACAGGTAGCACTTCCTGTCGCCTCTCCATCCTCCCACACTGAGGCCAGTTCTATCCTCTCATGGGAACAGGGATGGTGGACAGATGCGGGGAGAAGAGAACTGTGCGAAGGAGGAGAAATGGTGCTGGCCACGAGGGTTGCCTTCAGTAGGAACCAGAACTCCAGGATCCCATAGAGAAATTAAAAGAACAAGAAAAAGCAAATGGGAGCCAAGTTCATCCCCAACTCTTTCCATGACATGCGCACCACGCGGCCCACAGCCCTATCCCTCCCATACCCACCTTAACCTCTCTCTCTTCCCTCACTCAGACATCAGACTCAATACTAGAAAGTTTCTCATAAACATGTCCATTGCTGGAGCCATTGAAAGCCCTGGGGTTTTTGTTGTTAGGCACACAGGGGTTGGACTGGTTCCCTATACAAATGTCCTTCTGGAAACGAGCAGGCACAGCCCCATGAAGGGCCGACACCACTGGCTTATTGGTGACAAGGGCCCGGAAGTCCGGCCTTGTTTTCGATGCCCCTGCCACCGTGGGCTGCCTGAAGAAGTAGGATTTGCTGCCGTGAAGCAAGCACTGGTCATCCCCAAAAGTGGGGATGAAAGGGTTTTGCGTGACCCGGTCAGGGTAGAGCGACTTGCTGAGCATGTAGCCGCCGCCAGGGTTGTTGTGGTGGTGTCCGGCAGTGGGCACTGAGGACTTGTTGTTGGCAAAGGAACTCTCACCAGCTGGCATCTCAAACATGTGGGCGTAGGGGCTCCCATCCAGGAATCGGCCCTTGTCTTTGAGGCTCACGCTGCGCGGGGCCAAGGCGGCCTCCTCCTTCTGCAGGTCCACAAAGGTGTCGTAAGAGTGCTGCCGGCGTAGTTTGTTCCGATTCTTCTTCTGGGCCTTGGAATTAGTCGGGCTTTGAGGGTACTTGGTGGTGGAGGCATTGGATGTCACAGCCACGGGGGCAGCCGGCTGGTCCAGTTCCTGCAGGGAGTTGTCCTCGCTGATGTCATACAGGTTACCAGCCTTCTTGCAGGCCTCACACCTGATGCAGGCCTGCCGTCCCGAGTTTTGCCCTGCCACTGTAGAGGAATAATTGTGCAGCTTGGAGGGACAGCTGCGGCAGAAGTTGCCCCCAGACCGGTCCTCCCAATCTACATTGGTCAGATTCTTCTCCCAAGGAGCTGGCACCCCACCTACCACGCCATGTTTATCGCCTGTTCCATGTTTGAGGTGAGACCTGTTGGTACAGGGCCCACCTCCACTGACCGAATCTCGCTTGAAGTCATCGCTCCGTTCTTTGTAAATGTCGGTCAAGTCCACATGCTCCCAGTGAGGCGAGTTCTCCTTTGTTCGGAACTGGTCCAGGTAGAAGTCTCGCAGCCCTTCTTTGTCCCTGAAATAGCGCTTGTGGTCCGGGGAGCGGGGTGGTCGGCGTCGGTAGGCCAGCTCAATTTCATCAAACTCCCGCCTAGACTTGGCTGAGGCTGGCCGCTTCTTCAGACTGTCCTTATATTGCTGCTTCCTCCTCTTGGCTGCGTTACCCTCAATGTTTCCATAGGTGACAGTGTGTGTGGAGATGTCCGAGACATCCGATCGAATCAAATCATCATGGCCACTGTAGCGGTCACTCTTGAAGGAGAATTTGCCATACAGGTCACTGAGCTGGCTGTGTTTGGAGGAGGGCAGGCCGATGTCCAGGGGTTTCTTGCTGATTGACCTGGGCTGGGTGGTAAAGGGTGGGTTGTCACAGTCGTAGAGCCCGTCAATGGAGCTGGTGCTGCCAATGCTGTGTGGTCGGTGGTGATGGTGATAGTGGTCTTGGTACACGTTGCTGTCCTTCAGCTGCAGGTTACCAAATGTCCTCTCTACCTCGCTAATGTAGTCACTGAACAGGTTTTCCTCACAGGGCGGGTTGTTGTAAGACTTGCAATCTGAATGTGTGAAGCTGCGGCGATGCTCAGAGATGTCATAGACAGAGGACTCTCGTCGGATGAAGTCCAGGGCACTCTGAGGGGAGCCGTTTACTCCAGACAGGTTGGCCATATTCTTGGCTGTGCGGAGCAGGCGCAGGATGTTGGAGTGTGTGTTGTTCATGGTAGCGGTGGGGGAGTTCATCACAGATTGGCGCTCCTCTATAGCTACTCCATGGATGCAGCTGTAGATACCCTGAGGGGACATAGGATGGTACACATTGAGTTCAGAGAAATGGAACACAGCATAGACAACAGTGCCCCACCACTGATGGTCTAATGCGAAAAGACAGATAGGAGAATCATGAGACAGGCAGTGTGCTACAGTCACAGAAAATGTGCCTCGGAGCTTGGCTGAAGTAACCCCTTGAATTGAGCAAATTCCTGTCATGAGGACAGTAATCTGTCCATCAGAGAGGAGAATGGTCATACCAAGGGACTTGAACAAACAGATAACATGGCATTTGTGCTTCAACTCCAAACATGATCTATCTTGGTTTTCCTTCCTATACCCAGATTTTTGCATTTTATAAAAGAATCCGTGCCGTAAACATGTGGCAAATTATGAGTAGATTCTTGTAAGCACAAGGCATCTCGGCGCAGATGCTGGGGCCCTTTTGCTCTGTTTGGTCACTTCTGGCTGATGTTGCTCACGATTGCCTCTTAGTTCTAGCTCTGACCATTTTGAGCAGCTTTTAGAATTTTGGTCAGCAAATAACGAGGGAACAATACTGTTTTGTAGCTAAGCATGAACTAAATTCACACAGAGAATTAGAAAGCCCTGGGGTCAAAGGATTTGCTACTGCTGTGGCCTACACTGTGGGAGGGAAGAACTGGGACAAATATCAAGAGCTTGATATGAATAAATAACTCCCTTGTTGAGGTCTCTCCTCTATTCACTCTTTAACTCTTGGTTTCCTTCTTATATTAAATATTATCAGAATTAATTAATGTTCTATCAAGTTAGTATTGATGAAGAATACCCTGTGTACAGGTATATAGCTACTTGTTCAGGGCACTGGAGGACATCATCCATGAGAAAAGATGGGTTTTTTTTCCTGGGTCACCAGTCTCCCCATGTCTAAAGTCAGGTCACCCAACAGCCCACCTCTCCTGTGCTGCTGTGAAAGGGGAGCAGACTTGGGGTTTTGTTCCTGACAAGGGAAGGAATATGGAGAAGCGGCTCTAAACTGCATCCTTACCTCTAAAAAGGTTAATTTGGAAAGGAATCTTATCTGGATGGGCAGGGCGGAGAGAAGAAGGTGAGAAGGAAAATGGCCGTTATGTGGCAAAGAGGCGTCAGAGTTTGTGAGACAAGACCTGGGGATTCCACTCTCTTTCTGCTTCTCACTTCTGACCTCTTGACAGTGGCCAGGAGGAAATGCTAAGTGTCCTCCTTGGTGAAGACAGTGGTCCTGTCAGAGGGCCACGGATGAGATTTCTCTTTCCTGTTGCTGCTGTGGCCTCTGGGAAGGGCTGCACAGTGGACCCGGGGGACCCAGGGACCAAGAGTCCCACAAGTTCCCTTCTCCTGTTCTTGTGTGACTAAATGACCTGAATTAACTGACAGCTAGAGAGGAAGTAGATAATTGTTCCCTATCACTAAAACACTACAGGAAAAAGACCAGAAAATGAAACAATTTAATGAGAAATCCATTTCTTTCATAACTCCATTTGAGTCAAGGTTGGTCATATATGGAACACACAATCCTCAACTTTAAAGGGTCATTTGAGTTCACTACTCATGTGAGAGTCCTACAACTGCATTAATAATGTCAGAGAATCCTACTCTTTAAAAAATTCCCCTCTGTGACCTGAGGTTCATATACTCAACTATTTTCCCAACATCCCACTCTGAACTCAAAATGAAGATCTCTAAACCCAATTATTTCCCCAGTACCTCACTCTGACCTGGAGATGAAGACGATCTCTAACCTAGCCTGAAGTCTTGCCCCAGTTAAGTAAGTTTTTGGAATATAAGTTTCTTATGAGTCAAGACTTGGATTCTGTTAGGCTCTTTTAAATGTTATATATCTGTAACACACACACACGCACACGCACACGCACACGCACACGCACGCACACACACACACACACACACACACACACACACACACACAATCCTCTTGTCTCAGTCTCCCAGTGTTGGTATTATAGGTATGTGCCACCACATCCAACCTTTAGGTTCTTTAATTCCCTACACCTCACATGTGGTTAAAATATGAGAACAGTAAAACCACCAGTAATACGCCTTTGTGTGTTAGAATAAGAGATATTACACCCTATTATTTAAGGATCAAGAGATTAATGCAGCCTATACAGAATCAATTAATGGTGATGTAAAAGCCAAATGGGGAAAAGTCAAATTTTCTATTTTGAGAGATCTACCCTTTTTTAAAATTGAGAATCAAATGTCTGAGTCTCAAATGGAAGGAAACATGGCATCACCCATCTTAGAAACACTTGAATTTCTTTCCCACAGATTCCTGGAGAAGTGCACATGATGTGGTTTCAGGCTTTAGCTACGTAAGGCTGGAGCTAGCACTCTCTTGGGTCTCTCTGCTTGGCACAGAACAAGGCTAAACCATCCTTAACAAGCTCTGGGTACTTAAATCAAAACACTTACTCTGCTGATGGAGAAGACCATGCCAGGCTTGCCAGAACAGACACCCATGAAACAATGTCGGAACTGCCAATAGAACAGATGTTCACAGATGAAGGTGATGAGGCTGAGAGCCATAGCTGCCCCCAGCATATAGAAGACGCCTGCCATGTTGTCGATGTCCAGCTGGCTGCTCATAACCTCATTCTTCTCGTTGTGGCAAATGCCAGTGAGCCAGAGAGCTTCCAGTTCTTCCATCTCCCCTAGAAAAAGGGCAGAGATGGAGACAGATAAAGGAGGGAAAGAAGGAGGAGAGAAGAGGCAAAGTAGGAAGAAAGTTGAAGGGCATAAAAATATGACAGAAAGAGACAAACACAAAGAGAGAAAATTAATACTTTTTATTAATACCATTACATCTCAACTCACCAACATATCCCTAAGTATTCAGTGAAAATGTAATGAATGAACTATGGGTGACACAAACACATGGAACTTCCCTGTGGCTCTCCTTTATCCAGTGTAAAACGGCAGCTCAATGCTGGTTATCATGTGCAATATGCTATGCAAAGAACAAGAGTTCCAGTTAGTAACAACGGTTCATGGACAAAGTGGTCAAGAGGAGAAAGAACAGGGTGGGGGGAGAACTTGAGAGTGGGAATGGATTTTAATTTTTATTGTACATAAAAGCATTCCAGAATGTAGGAATAGCATACTCAATGGGGAAGGGGTGGGGAAACAGAGACTCATTTAAGGAGAAGCAAGAAAAACAGTTCAAACAGAATGACCCTCAGTAAGAAAGCTTAATAAAACAATTAATGCAAGAATTCTGAGGTTAAACACTCTGTCCTTTATTTTATAGATACTGGAGATAACATGATCAATGGGTAAGAATGTTGGAATTATACAGAGCAGATTAGATTGGGGAAGAAGTTGAAAGAGATTGGAGAAGGGTTGAATCCCTATGGTCTCTCAGAATTACAGATCTCTTATAGAGAAAATATGAAAAGCAAAAGAGGAGTAAGCTGAAATGAAGCAAGACCACTCCAGTGGAACCTGCTTCCTCTCCACCCTGCTGAAGGGGGCATTGATTACTTCAGTTCTGTCAGATCTCAATGACTTTTATCTACTATCACTGAAAATTAGTCAGTAGAAATGTAGAAATCTTAGACTAAATAAATAAATAAATAAATAAAATCATGTACCCTAGAATGTCACTAATTCCACACACATGAAATTCTAGAAATCTCATGAAGGAAACTGGTCTGTCAATTCAGGTTTGGACAAAAGTTTGAACTTTGCATGGCCCAGTGAAGGCCAAAGTCCTCTCTACTGATGCACTCGGTCATAGAATAAGGATCCATTTGGCTGTGACTACTAGTTATACCAACATGGTTTGTCAAAGTTGCAGCCATAAAACCTTTACTCTTCCTGATGAGACTCCACTCACTTTTATTTCTTTCTTCTTCAATTCAACAATGCTTTTCCTAAGTAGTGCAGCAGCCAGATGCAGCTGGAGTCTGGAAACCTATCTCTGGGATTGTCTCTGATGTCTTTCCCAACAGAAAAGGTCCTACAGCCATGACAAACCCACATGGCTGATGGGCAGGGGGACCATGCAGAGTGAGGCTCGTCTGTATCTGGATTAGCTGTGTGTGAGGGCTGGTGGAAAGAGTCACCACTGGAAAGACACAGTAAAGCACCTTTTGGTATCTACACCTCCCTCTGCCTCTTCAGCCATAATGGTCAAGTCAGGACAGAGTGAAGGATGAGGAAACAGCCACACACTCACTTCTCTGGGAACAGAAAGAGCACCTCCCTACAGTCCTGTTTCGGGCCACTCATGGGGTGATATCTGAAACATCTAACTGTAACCTACTCCATCCCTGAGTGGTTTCATTACACCACACAATCTTCAAATGTACACTTGTCACCAACCACTTTAATCTCTTCCTTCATCTTTTACCCCATGCAGATGAAAGTGAGTCTCCTTGCAATTCATTTATTGAACTCCTAACTTCTGGTAGCTTAGGATGTGGCTTTATTTGGAAATAAGGTCATTGCAGATGTAATTGATCATGGTGAGGTCACACTGGAACACAGTCTCATATGATTGGCTTTAAGGAAAGTGTGAATTCAGAGAGGGATGAATACAGAACAAAAACATGTACCCAGGCAGAATGAATGTAAAGGTCTGAGTGGTGCTTTCACAGGTCAAGGAATACCAAGTAGAACCAGCAAGGCAACAAAAGTCATGGGACAAGCATAAGGAGGATTCTCCTTCCCCACTTCCAAGTGAAGACAGCTGTATTGACACCTACAGCGCCCAAAACTTCAGCACAGTGAATCCTACTGTTTATGCCTTTTCATTCATGTCATTTGTTATGGCAACCCCAGGAATCTAAAAAGTGCTCTCCAATCTTATCATGTCCTGGGACAAGCTGTTTTGGATATGCAGAGAAGAGAGGTTGCTATTTCAGAATGGCCATTGGTTGAGACCAAGCGAACACTTGCCCTTTCTTTAACTCACCATCTCCAAAGAGCTGCAGAATAGCAAGGTCCACCTGGCGCTTCCACCCAGAATCTTTCTGGATGGCAATGCCATAGCCAGTAGATGCAAAGACCTTGCCACTGCCAATGGTCACCAGCTTGCAGCCTTCATCTCTTCCGGCCATGTAGTTGAGCACTGCTGCATCATAGATGAAAGCATCGAGCTTCCTGCACAGGAAAGAAACAAACCGACAAATACCAAGGAGGAAGTGACACACCAAAACTACCTATTGGGCCATTAGTATGAAGTGCTGGGGTTCCAGAAGCTATGTGGAGGACTGGCTCACAGTGAGGCTCAAGACTATTGTCAGAGCCTAAAGCCTGCATCCCGGGGTGGTGCTCTTGATGGGACTTCAGGTTGAAAAGAGTTGTTTATTTTTTCCCCTCCCACTAGGAATGGTAAGAATGTAAGTTGGGCCTGAGGCCAACTCATAAGCTGGGTCTGAAAAGGAGAAAGAGTAAAAAGGAATCGATAAAAATAATAACACAAATAATGAAAAGTAAGCACCACAATGATAACAAATAGCATGGGTAAGACTTATATGATGTTTTTCATTTCTCAGTTCATTACAGTCCGGAGTGGGGGAAAGTGTAGGTGTACATGTTTCTGGAGGTGTTTGGCTATTTTGGCAGTCAGAAAGATTTCACTATTCTCTTGTCTTATAAGACTTTGCTTCGAGGGGCCAGAGTGGTGACAACCAAAGCAAATGTGCAACACTGAAGGAGAAGGTGACATACAGAAGAACCCAGGTCATTCATACCCCTAAGTGTACATGCACATCATGTGAGACACCGGGCTTTGCAGAGAAGGGACATGTAGAGAAAAGATCTGGGCTGAGAGCAGGAAGGCATGCAACACTGTTTCAAACCAGCATTTCCACATGTTAAAGGTAGAGGAAGCAGCTTGCATGAAGCCATGCAAGTAACAGGCCTGAAAGGAAGCAGACCATGCAACCCCCACTCCTGCCCGAACATTTACAAGTTAGGAATCTTTGTCCCTCTTCAAGAAAAACAATCTCTTTCTGACATGACAAGCCACAGGACATTTTATAAAGTGCATCTTAACAAGTTAAGGTTGGCAGTATGCCCAAATACCAACATTCTGGTATAATTGGGAACTCTGGGTGTCCCATGGTTTGGACTATCCAGAGTACTCCTACCCTAACTTCAGATCCCAACTTCTGAAATCTGTTGTGACTTTGTTTACAGCAGTAAGATCGAATCTCACAGTATTTTAAATGTCCACATGTCTGGGTGGTGCTTGGAGACCTTGAGGTGCAAGGGTGACCAGACAAGGTCCACAGGCTGGTAGTCATCATAGAACAAAGTGAAACAGTTGTATGACCCATTAGCCTCCAAATCTCAACATTTATAATGTCCAGTGTTGACCATTTTTCACAACTCTGGCTTTCAAATAAAAGGACAATGTGCCCGGGGAGCTACATGACAGTATATCGACAGTTTGTGAACAAATACATCCAGGGTACAGAGAAGGGCTATGAGGAATGATAATCAAAGCTGGAATTAATGCTCAATCAGCACATTTTTGTTGTTAACTAAAAACATTTGCACGCTTCCTCTTTTATTTCTCCCTTGTCCATAGACCCCGGAACTCTCTTTTCCACCTCTTAGACTATAGCACATGTGTAACGTGTGTGAGCTCTCTCCTTGATCCCTCCTTCTGCGTTTTGATCTGTTTCATTTCCACTCCATGGCCACAATCATGCAAGCAGAAAATGGTTTGCAGGATAGTACATAGAAGCAAGTCACAGCATACAAATTTTTGTACAATGGTTGCAATGTCGCTGTCCAGTTTAACTTGGAAACAGTCTTTGATTTAATGATTATGGTACCAGTTCAATCTGTGACTAACGGATGTGAGAAACATATCGCTCTGAGCTTGGAGGCCATTCTTACCCCGTTTTCAGGGAGAGCAATGCATCATCTACACCCCTTTGGTTGAACTTTCCCATGTAGGCATGCATTTCTGCATAGTTATTGCGGATATTCCTCTCTGTGCTGCCATTGGGCACAGTCCCAAAGCGGAAAGGGGGTGAAAAGTCATTAGGCCTCTGGAACTGGAGAGAGAAAGAAAGAGAGAGAGAGAGAGACAGGCAGAGACAGAGAAAGGAAGAAATGCTTTAGAAAAATGTGAAGAGACATTTAGTCAGCATTAGTGAGTTTATAATGGAAAAGAACCAACTATAATTCACCAAACACATTAGCCCTCACTCAGGAGCAGTAATTGCCTTCTGAAGTGGACTTCAGTTCAACTCAATTTAATACATATTGTTAAGAGATTTTTATTTGTCCAACCCTGAGTTTAATCTCTAACCTGTGGGTTCCTTCTCTGCACACAGCACAATACCAGTGATGATGAGGCTGGAAGTGGTATGATACAGTTCGACTGTGGCAGATTAGTTACCTTTATTTCCAAAAATTGTCTAAAATCTGCACTCAGGCCTCTTAATACACTGTCATTGTACAATTAAGGCCACACAGCATTATGTTCATGAAGATAATGTTTGAATATCAAATATATTTTGCTGAGAAATTTTCCCTTGACCTTCAAAGTACTCAAAATTCCATTGATCCTATACCAGCTATTGGATAACTTGCAAATCCCATGTCACTTTGACTATGTTCTGTAGATGTAATTCAGTGGTCTTATTAAACAAGAAACACAGAGCCAATTCAGAGAAGAAAGCCAAGAGGTCAGAGCCAAGAGCCTCACCCTTCCTGATTCAGGGATCCTCCTCAGCCCAGAGAGCTCTCCGAAAGAGGAGCCCTACTTCCTGTGTGTCTGTCTCTATAGTCTCCTTGTTCTGGCTTCTGATTGGTTGTAAACCCAATCATGTGACTGCCTCGTCACTGCCTGTATGTACCGCCCTCCAGGTCTTTAAAGGCATACGCCACCACTGCCACGCACTTGCTATGGCTCTAATAGCTCTGACCCCAGGCAACTTTATTTATACCACCACAATGTTCCCCTCTTGCTTAAATTCTGAGAGAGTATCTCCAGCGCTTAGCGCTAGAATTGAAATTTCTTGGATTCTATCCCTATGACGTCAGCTTTATTCCTAGCTATTACCCTGCAATGAGTTACGTCTTAATGTTGCTTCCAGAGCACATAATTTGACCATTTGTATTTTCACAGCCTCATCGAATCCATCTCTTTAACACAAACTCACCTTTCTCTTCAGGGCAATTCATATCCTTCATTTCAATATATAGCTCAAAGCAACTGCTTTGGGAAACCTCCTGTGAATTCTTCCTTCTATCAAATTGACCCCAAAGTGATCCATCAGTACTTGTTATTCTGGTTTAGAGGACTATGGTTCATACCATAAATTCAACAATTCCCTAAAAGTACTGGCTAAGTACTGAGAACTAGTCTTTGATGTGGCCATGAATAGGTTAAGCTTGAGGTTGAGACAGACATGAAGACCAGCCTTGCCACTTGCTATTTCATCACTCTGGTCATTAACAGAAATTGTGCAGCATCTCCTCCTCCTCCATAACAAGGAGTTGATGATGTCCAGCTTTCAAGACCACGGCATCCTTAACACAGGGCAAGAGAAGTTGGCTCAGCACCTGACACACAGTAGGGCTGCTTGACACAAACCAGGTCACCTGGTTAGAGGGACTTCAATTGAGAAAACGCCTACAACATATTGTCCTGTAGGCAGGTCTTTAAGGTATTTTCTTGATTAGTGATTGATGTGGGAGGGCCTAGTCCACTGTGGGCGGTGCCACCCTTGCACAGATAGAAATAGAATAGAAAGCAAACTGAGACAGTAGGCGCTCAGTCATGGTCCCATATTGTTTTAAACTCATGTACATTTCAATTGTGTTGGCTGATAAGCAGGCTGATTAGGCTGTCTAATCTTCTTGTCCTGTAAATATGGCTAAGATGACACAGAATGCAGGCATAAAGCTGTACCTTAGCATAGAGGGGACAGTGAAGGTGTTTAAAGTGCTCTTGGTTTCAATACTGTACCTGTTACCTCGGAGACGTATTTGAAAACCTAGCCCATCCCTGAGGGACCACTAAGCTTTTTAAATGGTCTAGGTTCAGTGGCCATTCTTATCCTTCTCAGAATGTGAGGGCTTCCTGGGCCATAGATTCTCATAGCACAAGGCACCATCACAGCCACTCTAGCTACTCAGTGTTGGCCATAATTAAGAGTCAGAGACTCACGCTGTGGTGGCGGGATGTTTGAGTGCCTCAAAAGACCAGACATCCCAACTGGAAAACTTCCCTTTTGTGATCACCATGATTTATACCATTAATAGCCTTTGTTTATTTTTTATAAAGGTTCCAATTTTAAGTGAATAAAGATAGTAGAGGAGTCAGACTTTAGAGTCAAGTCGTTTACTCAACGCTAACTAGCTTGAGCCTTTCATTGGACAAAAGATGAAACAGGGAACAATGAGGGTAATTTTCTCAGTAGCACCCAGTGGCAGTGGTGGCCAATATCATCAGTGTTACCCGGGCCTAATTAAGAATGACTCCTCACTGTGCCCCGCAGATAGTGAGCTTACAGTAAACAAGACTATGCTTTAGTAAAAGAGACAGATACCAGAATACTTCACACACTACTGTCAACTATAACTCCCCACAAATCTGAAGAAAACCATCCCCCAAATCCAAAGCAGACTGGATAGCACGGGAGATGCAGTCAGTGTAGTCAGCTACCCCCCCCCCACCTGCAAATCGGCACTTTGCTAGGGCAACGACAATAGACACAAACACTGACTAGGAGACTGCTCCACAACAGTTTCTGAAGTATTAGTGAATATTGGAGTTACAGCCAATTCAGATCTAATATAAATTATTATCATCGAGGAGGTATTTTTTAAAAAAACAGCATATGCAGGGTACACACAACTTTTGATTAACTAAATGGGATCCTCTGCCCAATGTTCCTACTTCCTGAGGAGTCGCAAAGCTAAGATGTTTCTAACTTTGTAACATGATCTTTTCATGTGAAATGATCTTTAAGTTTTCTATGTTATTTTTACAATCACATCCATAGCCAAATAAAACATAAAAAATGAAGACCTGGAGTAGCAAACGCCATTTTCAAGGAGAAGAGCAACACGGAAGGATTTGAAGACACACTGAAGGGCGACAGAGCTGTTACAGCACTGGTGTGAAGATGATGAAGGGGAAGGCTGACAGAAGAGAGCGGCTATCAACAGACAGGCACCGCCACAGTGTGAAGGCGGCTCAGCGGAGATGAGCCAGCTCTCAACAAATGGCGTGAAGATAATTAGGTGTTCCTGCACAAAACAAGCCTTATTCCTCACCTCACAAGATCAATAGCAATTACCTAGAAGTTGTAAAAATTTTCAAGAGAAAATATATGAGAACATTTTTGTAACCTAGAATTAGACGAAGACTATATATCACGTGTACAACCCACCAACAGAGGGAGTAAAGATAAATGAAAGTTCATCCAGATTCAGAACGTCTCTTTAAAAGATGCAGTTGTGATCATGAAAAGATAAGCCACCAACTGGGATGAAGAATCTGAAAATGAATTAAAGCTATTTAAAACACAAATTAGATAATAGCAGAACAAGACTTACATCATTTAGGCATCTTCCATGAGCACATAACCAGAGAAACAACCTAGACTACAATGGGAAGGATGGGAGGGGGTCGTCCTCTGGACACAGTTTAGCTTGGAGGCAATTTGGATTTAAATTCAGTCATGGCTCATGCCTATTATAGGAACAGGAACACGGGTAAGTTCCTTAATCTGGCAACATTCCATTTTTTTTCCTGGAAATATTTTTTTAATAACTAAGGTAATACATAGGAAAGCACTTAATAATGTATGAAACTCAAAACTATTAGCTGCTTCTGTGGCAATGAAGTTCCAGTATCTAAAATTGCCTTGTATGAGGCAGTGTTTGTGCAGACTGATAAGTCTTATTCTCTAATCTGTCCCTTAAACTAGGCCAGTCCGGGGCCATCAGGGGAGACACAGGCTCAGAATCAGCCAGAGCAGATGTAGAGGTAAGCTTGCCTTCTCCTGTGAAAATTCTTATTCAGCTTGATAGTAGGTTTAAATAAAGCAGCTCTTTCAAAACTGTCATTGGACATTGAACTTAACTAAAATTCACATTTATGGGAAACAGTATGCTTAAGGAGACCCATGGGGAAGAAAAAAAAGGAAAAATCCCAAATGCCTGGATGTTTCAATAAATGCCCTTATAATAAAACTCACTCCAAGATGCAGAGCCTTGTGGTTTAACCTCCATGACAGTTGATGGTCTCTGGGGTATAAAGGAGGAATAAATATGTCTACTGTGAAGAATCTGAATCAAAAGAGGGAGGACCTTGACAAATAATTTAAAAAATTGTAACATCAATAACAATTAGATTTTAAAACTCTATTTTAAAATAGTGAATTAAAACAACAACAACAAAACAAAACAACCCAGCATTCCTTGCTAATGACGTTTGTCACTGTAAGGCTTCTAGGCTTACAATTCAGTCAATTCAGTCTTCTAGGCTCCACCCAGTTTGGGATTGCTAAAACACAGATCCAGCTAGTGAGATAACAGTAAAGACTGGGAGGAGCCTCAGGCATCAGGCCCATTTCACAGATGTAGATGAGATGTCAAGGATATTGCTCAAAGCTGTGTGAAGGAGAATGATAAGCTGAGATTTTCCACAGCCAGCTGGGATCAGCCGAGTCATTTTGCCTTGGCTTCCTGGGAAGCGAGGCCATATGCTGTTAAGTGGGGTCACCTGGGAGGCTACCCTTCCCTTTCTGGTATCACAGTTGCTTGCTCCCACCCTCTCCACTGGATCCAAGGCTTTCTCCCGGCAATCACTGATGCTCACCCCACAGAAGGTAACACCAAGGCACAATGTTAGGAGAATCGTGATCTCACTGGCTCTTCCAGTGATTCAGCACCCTGAGCCTTTCACATCAGCATTTCAGCCTCTGTCTTAACGACTTTTAAGTGAGTTTGTGTCGGCAGTCAGTCATGCAAGGAGAAAGATGCCTGAGGACCAGGAGCAAAGGTCCTCACTCTCACCCCAAATGATCAGCCTGTG